GGACATTTATGGTTTGATTTCTTTGTATGTATGGATCACTTGGGTTGTTACCAACATCTGGTGAAAATTTCATGTCATTAGCACCTCTAGTAATATATTTACTCAGAAAAATGGTGACGTTCAATACTCATTTTACCTGCTGTATGTATGTGTGTTTGTGTGTAGGTGTTGGAAAAGAACAGCATATACAGGGTTGTTTGTCTCATTTGTCTCTGTCCATGTGATGGACGTGTAACTTGTCCAAGTGTACCCTGCCTCTTACAGGCTGGATGCTGGATACGTGGGCCAGTGACCATGAAAGGAAGAAGCCAGTATAGAATGGATGGATGGAAAGTGTAATTATATACACTAAATAGTGAAGAAATGTATTCTTAACAAACTAACAGCAAACATAAAATTTTACTTTCAGTATACTTAAAAGTGTATCTTTATAAACTAATACAATGGCACTAAGTTTACTTCTAGTGAACTAATAGTATATCTATAAGTCTACTTTCTGTATACATTCAAGTGAACTAATATTATAATTATTATACATAGCAAAATTGGTCTGGTCCTGGCCTACACAACACTCTAACACTCTAAGACCCAGATACTACAAAGAATGATGGCCCTTTGGTGGTCCAGAGTAGTATGCCAGATGTGTTCAATGCATGGGCCAGCCCCACATAAACCAAACCACAACTGGGTCAGATATGGCATACCATCCTATAAACAGCACTGAGTACAAGTTGTGTAAGATCAAAAGTATGCATATGAGAACTGAAAGTCTCAGTTCCCAACTGTAAAAAAAACTTCCTTCTCTTTTAGTCCACTTCCCCTCTAAAATAGCTTCAAAACCAGTTAAGTCTTGTGGATTATACCAGTGGGTCCAAATTATAAAGTTACACGCACATGTGTTTTATGACAGCAGGTTCAGAGAAGAGAATAAGTTTGGAGAAGCCCAGAAAGACAACATGAAAACTGTTGCAACCTTCTTGATTCTTGTGCTGAGTTGTTTCTCCACCTGTCACGGTATGTGCCTTTTATAGAATGCAATCAATTAGTTTTAAATTTAATATATAGTTAGAAAAGTGCATGTTTTTGTAAGAATTGAGTTATTTTTCAACTGATGTTGTCTCTCCATAGGTTGGACATGCAAAGCGGCCCCGCAGCACTTACCTGCTGCACAGCTTGATGCTGGAGAAGGAAAAGTCGTGATGACAGACGAGCTCTCCAATGCCTTCTTCCTGAGTGGCTCAACTTGGTACAAACTGGGCACCGTTCCTCTCAAGCACATCTCAGTCGGACCTGCAGGACTCTGGGGGAGTCCTGCAGGTTTATTATTTGTAGACCCTTTGAACAGGGTCTACAAATATGTCGCTGGAGATTTCATTTCTCTTAACGGTGACTATTATTGTGTGAATGCTTCAAAGCAATCACACTATTGAGATCATTTTTTCTTCTGTACGTTTTTTGGTATTAACTTGTTCCACAAATTTTGTGCTATTTCATTTTGTGCTATTTCAACAATTCATATATCAAAATGTTCAGCTCATTTATGACAATCCTGCTATGACTTTTGGTATTTCAGCTATTTATACTTTTCAACTATTACACTTTTTCAGTATTGAAAATTAATGGTGTCATTTTCATCATCCTTGAAATGATTCTAAATCTTTACAGCACCTAATTTGTTCTGGTACTTCCACTTGGTGCTGATTTGAGATACTTTTGTTAATATTAGTTTTCTGAAGCTCTTAGTTTTGCGAAGCTCTCGATTTACCGGTCGATCTACGTTCCTACCCTCATCTATGGTCATGAGCTTTGGGTCATGACCGAAAGAACGAGGTCCCGGATAC